TAAAATTGATATAGACCCTTTATTTGTAAAGACCAATCTTGTCCATACATTCAATGAATTTAAAAATTATTTTTTAAATACTGTATATAAAATAAAGGAAATTTTAGAAAATAACACCACAAAAAAACACAAATTTTAATTATAACACCACAAAATTTAAAATTTTGATTATAACACCACCAAAAAACCAAAAAAATTGATTTCACCACCACTTTCTAACGCCATCAAAAAAACCGTTAGTGAGCCCCACAAAGTACACATGTCAGATATATATTGGATTAAAAAAAAGGAAAAATAAATAAAAAAAAAAAAAGAAAAAACCCCAAAATCCAAACCCAGCCACCGTACTCACCACCGGCGTCGGTTTCTCCTGCCCACCGCCGTTGCTGGTTCGCCCAGTCGACCACCCTTGACCCCCGACCACCTGAACGACGCAACACCCTAACCCTTAAACGACGTACCCAACTTAGCCTCACCCCCAACTCCGATTTAATTCGAAATCTGGAAACGGGTTAGGGTTCAGGTGAGGGCGGTTTTTGGTTAGTGTGGGTTGGGGTTTCGACGACGGTTTTGGGTAAGAGAGATGATAATCTGCGACGATGATGGTGTGGGGAAGGATTTCGGCGACGTGGGTGGTTTTTGGGTTGTGTGGGAGTTCATTTCGTCAAAGCTGGTGGTTTTTGGGTTGGTGCGGGTGAGAATTTTGGCGACGTGGGTGGTTTTCGGGGAGGCGGAAGGCAAAATACGGCAGCGTGGTGTTTTCTCCGGTTTTGGTGGAGGCAAATGGGTGTCGGCGACCTAGGTTACGGTGTCGGCGACTGAGGTAAGGTGGCGCCGGTGGTGGAGCTAGCTGGGTTAGGGATTTTCTTTTTTTTTTTTTTTTTTTTTTTTCTTTTTATTAATTCAATTTTTTAAACCTATAGGATATTTACACGTGTCAAATTATGGCCTCACTAACGGATTTCATCCAAGGATTCGTTAAGTGGTGGTGAAATCAAATTTGTGAGTTTTTTTGTGGTGTTATAAGCAAAATTTTAAATTTTGTGGTGTTATAATCAAAATTTGTGTTTTTTGTGGTGTTATTTTCTAAAATTTCCTAAAATAAACAAGGAAAAAAATTGTTTTGCAGTACAAAATTGTCAAAAATAACATTTATGCAGTTAGCTCATAATTACTCAACCTTTTGATTAACTAAAAATAAATTAACTTTTATATAGTATTTTTTTTTATATTAGGTCAAATGATCTACAACGTGCTAAACAAGTTTACCTGTATTAATTTTTTTAAATCATCCACCTTTTCGAACTACTACCTACCTAGCCACCTCCTTGAAGCCATCCGACCACCAATGTAAACCAACATAATTATCCTCATCGCAGCCGCCCACCAATGTAAACTAATATAATTATCCCCATCACTGCTGCCCATCGTCAAATGTGGGAATTCAAGCTACTATTACAATTTGTTATTACTACTATCTACTAATATCAATCTGTTCCGATATCACTGATTTGCAATCCCCATTAACTAAATAGTGACCTACCATCTAGAGGCAGATCTATTCATGCGCATGATGAGTCATGTGACTCACCAGAAAAAATAAATATAATTTTTTTTTAAAAAAAATTTCAATGAGACCGCCTATTTTCTGTTGCTATTGCTACCACCCAACTGAGTTAGCACTATGTCAATTTTTTTTATTTAAATATCAAAGAGACCTGTTATCTTTTCAGTTATTTAGACTTGCTATTTAGATAACTGGTCTCTTTTATGCTATATTCAATGAATATTTTTATTTTTTGGTACTCCTAATAATTTTTTTTAATAATTCTTGTTTCTATTTATACTATATTTATGCAACCAATTTTATTATTTTCCCACAAAGCTTATTAATTAAGTAAAAAATCATAAAGTTAATTCAATGTAATAATTTTATAGGAGTAAGCCCCATTTAATCAATTTGATAAACAAAATTTGTTTATCAAATGACAAAATGGTAAATAAAACAACATAAATACCTAGTTATCATGGCCTTTTTGAAATATATCAACAATAGTGGAACCCATATTTAATAAAAAGTTGTTGATTTATTTATAATTTTGTCATTTGATAAATAAATTTTGTTTATCATATTGATAAACTTAAAATTTCTCATTTTATAGTATCATTGTTTGTAACATGTTAATTATTTGGATTAGGTACTTTTGACTTATGAGATTGAATTTTTAAGTACTATTATAGGGCGTTTGGTTGAAGGGATGAAAATAAGAGGGATATGAACTGAGGATAAAGATAGGTGATTAATAGGTGGGGACAAGGATAAATAATTTTTATCCCATGTTTGGTAAATATGGGAAACAAATTAGGGATAAGTATTAAATTTATTAAAATAATCTTATTAACTTCTACCTTTTCTACTTACCCTTTAACTTTCATTAAGGGTAATTTAGTCTTTTAAAACCCATTTCTTATCCCTTTTCCTTATACCATCCCCCTAAGTTAGAGAAATGATGGGATAAGTGGGTGTTTTAATCCTATCTCTAAGCCTATTTTAAATCCTATCCCTCCAAACAAACACTAGATTTCTTCTATTTCTATTTTTTATCCTTGTCCCACCCCTTCTATCCCCCTAAACAAACACTCTCTTGTATGGATTTTTATGTCCTATTTTTGAATATATATATATATATGATTTTTGGATATATATATATATATATATATGATTTTTGGATATATATATATATATATATGATTTTTGGATATATATATATGATTTTTGGATTGAAACAAGTTATCAATTATTGACATTGATTTAGCAATTCGAAAATTTTGTATCTGTCACTGCTACCATCATCTTTATTTTCCCTTCCCTATCAAATTCCGTTAGGCCTGCAACAACTTTTAGGCGGAGAATCACAATTCCATTACCGGAACAGTATGGGCCCCTGCATTGGAATCGGTGTAATGGTTTCAGAACAACGGCCTGGGGTTTCAAGGAGGATCGAACTAGGCTAACAGATTTTCTGTTCAAGGAATTGGCCCAGCCCGTTTTTCGTCGGCTTCCACGGCTACGTCGGTCAGAAATCGGTGTTGAATCGCCAAAAAGAGTGGTTGTAGACGAGAAGACTTAACTCAAACATGGGAATCTAAGCTATTTATTTATTCCCGAGTTGAGTTTCATCAACAATTTTAATGGTGACAATTGAAAAGATAAGTTTGACAAGGTGTTCATCACTTAACTCTCAATGCAAGAAGCTGAACTTAAGCAGGTAGTGGAGGGGGAGGAGAGAGAAAAGGTCATGAGAAGGAGGAAGAGCAGAGAGTTTGGGTAAAAATTAAAATAAAAATTTAACACAAAATTAAGTGAAAAACTTTAAATGAAAATTTCAAAGTCAGAAAATTTCAAAGTCAGACCAATGGTAATGCAACACCTGTCAAATAAACTTGTTTAACCGGTTTCCAGGATGTAAAGACTTAATTAAAGAAAATACTACTTCCTCCGTTTTTATTTTATTGTACCATTAGAACTTTTACACTATTCACTTAATCTTGTCTCGAAATCTTCTTTTTAAATATCAATTTTTTATAATTTTTACAAAGGTGTAATTGAAAATATTAATAGCTAAAAAAACATTAACAAGCGTGAAATTCTTCATGGTGCAATAAAAAAGAACGAAGGAATTATATTAAGCTCAACTTATTTTTAGTTAATTAAAAGATTAGTTTATTTTGAGTTAACTGCCTTAAAAGTTGGCTAAATCTTCACACACACACCAAAAAAAAAAAAAAAAAAAAAAAAATTGTATCACAAAATTTAACTTATACAGTTGAACTTATTTAGGTGGTAAAATTTACTTAATTAACAAGTTGAAGCAAACCTGATATAATAATGACCATAATTGACACTAATAATTACCAAGGCTGGAAAATAGTTACCTCTTCCCGGCTGTCATTTTGGTCATAATGTTGAGAGCCAAGTCATTAAACCCCTGATTCAAATTGACCTTCGCCGGCTCCTCAGTGGCTGCTTCATGGTAAAGGTCGCGAATTAGGAGACTGCATTCATCTTGTCGAATCCCAGAGAAGAGGGGAATCTTAGTAGACGAAAACACCTCCTGTGTCATGAGCCGTTTTAAAGTCCGAAAGTGATCATTATAAGGTGAAAAGGCAATCGATGTGCTATTGTAGTGTAGGAGCCTCCCGACAAGAGTGTCTGGTCGGTCGGCAAAAACCGTGTCATTTTTTACTAGACATTCCTCCACCGCGGAAGGGGAAGAGATGAGAAGGACTTTACGGACTCCGAGCTTTAGGAGTAGGATTTCACCATAGGTTGTGGAGATTTCATGGAGTGTTTGGTGAAGGGGTAGTGGTCGTTTTAGCATGTGAAGGTGGCCGATGATCGGAAGAGATGGAGGACATGGGGGCAGCTTTTTCTTGTTGTAAGTTAAAGATAAAAACTTGTAAACTATGAAGACAATCAAAAGTGAGAGCGACAAAGTGAACAAATTTAGATTATCCATAATGAATACTCTTACTATGTAACAATGCTATAATGGTTTGATGACCAACGATTTCATATTACATGCTTATATAAGAAATTGAAAAATTACAAGTTATTTGTCAACAAAAGACTTGACTAATTTACCTTAAGTGAAGAACTGAAGAATAAAGCAACGTATTCTAGTTTGGTGTGCAGTGTTGCTTGGAACGGCCAAGATGATTGATTACCAAGTTCTTATAGTCCAGAATGGTAGGAAAAATAATAGTTTAATGAGTCAAGCGTGCTTTTATTGAAATTCATTGTTAGTCAAACTATTACTTGTAGTTATACAACACACTTGAAAATAACTTATTGTTGTTGACTAATATTTTTATTATAAGATATCAAGCCACATTTTAGACTTATTAGTAGGGCTGGCAAAAGCTGACCCGACCCGAAAACACGACCCGAACCCGACCTGAAAATAGCGGGTTAGGGTTGAGGATTTCAACCCGAAAATTTAAATGGGTTGACACGAACCCGATACGAAATTTAAATGGGTTAGGTTAAGGTTGAAAATCCCAACCCGAAAATGACCCACAACCCGAAAACATTTAAGTTATTATAAAAAAAAAAAAAAAAAAACTTTCAGCCCTGCCCAAATTCGAATAAAGCCCCCTTATAAAGTCAAAAACCCTAAAATTTCCTATTCTCTTTCATTTTCTCTCAGCCGTCACCTGCCTTCTTTCTCTCTCTTAAACTTCCTCTCTCTTTAACCCCTAAAATCCTCGTTATTGTTGTTCAAACACTAAAATCCTCTTCTATCGTTGAATATTTTTACATCATTCTATGCCTCCTGATATTGTACACATCACTAAGCCTCTTCCTAGCCTCTCCTTTGTCTATCCAAGGTATTTTTCATGCTAATTTTTGCTGTTAAGTTATGTTGTATTGTTGTTATACGATTGTTGTCTTGTTTATGCTGATTTTTGTTGTTAATTTTTGTTGTAAATGTTTTATGCGAATTAATCATGCTAATTTCAGTTAATTGTTTTATACATGTTAATTACACGATTTTACATGTTTTTAATAGTTTTTATTCGCGTTGTTAATTGTTTGATTTTTAATGATCTACATGTTTGTGAACAAATTATTTATGTTTTGGTTTTAATTAATTGTTGTGTTATTTTTTAATTGCAGTAAGTAGCGGCCAATCAAATCCATCTCAAAGAGGAGAAGATAAATTACACCATGAAGGATGGGCAAAACAAAGAGAATTAAAGATTGTAAAAATCAGTGTAGCTTTTGAAATTCAATTTGTTATTCGTTAATTAGATTTGGTTTGTTATCCTTTATGTACATTTATTAGACTATTTTGTTTAAGATTGAATTTTGTTTTTCTAAAAAAATTTAAAATGCTATTGAATGAACAAAGTCAGGTTTGTCGGGTTAACCCAACCCGAATATAGCAGCCTGATTTATACCAAAAAAGATTTTGGGGCAAATCAGGTCATTTTCAGGTTTACCCGAACCCAAAAATATCAGGTTCAGGTTGAGTTTTTCAACCCGAAAACTTAAATGGATCAGGTTCGGGTTGGGGGTCAACTGACCCAAAATTAGCTGACCCGAACACGAACCCGACCTGATCTGTTTGACAACCCTACTTACTAGTCGTCCTCTCCATGCGTTGCGCGCGAGAGTCCAACGTGAATATGTTTACTGTAATTATTTGCGTAATTAGATGTTGTAAAATTAATCTCTGTATTTCTCATTCAATATGAACGGCCACATACAATATATATAACCTAGGTGTACTTGGAGGGCAAGGTCAAGATATACCCAAATATTCTCTAATATTATTGTATAACAAAATATATTCCCTATTATCTCCTAATATCCCAATACCCCCTCAAGTTGGAGCATACGGGTCAAAAACGCCCAACTTGCGAAGAAGAAACTCGAACTTATCTTTTTCCAAAGCCTTTATAAAAATGTCAGCCAATTGTATCGTCGTAGGAACATACACTATAAGAAAACACGCTATTTCCGATGGATTCCTTCCGATGGCCATCTAAAACCGTCGGAAAATACATCATTTCCGATGGATCACGCCGTTGGAAATTTCTGACGGCCCGTAGTTCCAAGGGCTTTTCCGATGGCTTAAGCCATAGGAAATTTCCGATGGTTTTAAAAACCGTTGGAAAAATATAAAATTTTCGTTGGTTTAAAAAGCCATAGGAAATTTCCGATGGTTTTTAAGCCATAGGAAATATCCGATGGTCTAAAGCCATCGGAAAATAAATTATTTCCGATGGTTTTAAAAACCATCGGAAATTTCCGATGGCTTTTGTTAAAAATGCCGTCGGAAATTATACAAACAAAAGAAAAAAAGAACCCTAAGGCTACTAAAGAGCAAGCCTCCCCCTCCTTCTTTAGCTATCATTTCCCTCTCTCTCCTCTCTTTTCCACTCATTCTCCTCTCATTTCCCCCTTCTGCGCCCCTTCATCTTTTTTTCTCTCCTCTTTTTCTCATTTCTATTCTTTTCTTTCTGGTTTCTCACTTTAATTGACCAAATTTGCAGTTCATCAATTGTTTTTAGCAAATATTACAAGAAAACAAGCATTGTTGGTGGGTTTTTTTTTCGGGGGGTTTTTGGCCAAATTCAACCATGAAAATTCCAGATCTAAAGTTTTCGTGGTCGAATTTGACCATGTAAACAAATTTTCCACCAAATTATTAAGGTTTGTTTTTTAATCATTCATTTTCTTTCGTTTTTTGGGGATTTCATTTTTTTGTGTTTTTTATTGCAGCGACGGTTGGAGCCCTTGGTGGTGGTGGTAGCAGCAAGTACTAGTGGTGGTGGTTAGGTTTATTTGGTGTACGTATGCGTGGGGCTACGGTGGTTACAAAGGAGGTTTTGGGAGGGTGGTGTGGGTCTGGTTGCGTGGGTGTGGGTAGTGGGTTTAAGTGATTTAGGGTGGTTTTGTGTGGGTTTTGGTGGTTTAGGGTGGGTGGGTACCCTAGGGTGGGTAATTTGGTGTCTGGGTCAGGGGTGGTGGTTGTCCCGGTGGGTGGTGGAGGGGGAGCGGTGTTTTTTTTATTTTTATTTTTTGTGGTGGTATTTTCGATGGCTTAGCCATCGATAATCTTCGATGGTTCATCTGGCCATCGGAAATTTCCGATGGCAAAGGCGTCGGAAATCTCCGATGGTTTATGCCATCGATTTTTTCCGATGGCCTTTAAAAACCATCAAAAAAGTGATTTCCGATGGTATTTCCGTTGGAAAAGTGTTGTCGGCACTTTTCCGACAGAAAACCATCGAAAATCACTTTTTCGACGGTTTTTTTGGTGTTTTCGATGGATTTATACCATTGGAAATAGCCTTTTTTCTTGTAGTGATATAAAGGTATAGTCGTCCCATCTTTAATCGAATCCCGAAGAAAATGAAAATCTGATTCAATATGTTTTATTCGTTCATGAAACACTGGATCCTGCGCAATATATAACACTGACTGAATATCACAATAAAGGTGCATCCCATTCTCATGTTTAACACCTAAGTCTCCAAGAAGTTGTTTCAACCACTTTAATTCACAAGTCGTTGCATTCGTACAACGATATTCGGCTTGTGATGAAGAAAGAGCATCAATACGTTGCTTCTTGGTTTTCCATGACACTGGGGACAAACCAATAAGCACAAACCAACCACTCAAGGATCGTTTGGAAAGGGGACAACCTGCCCAATCTAGGTCACACTAACCTTCCAACTGTAAAGCACTATCAAATCTCAATAAAATTCCCTGTTCCGGACTCTTTTTCAAATATCTAACAACTCGTAGAGCTGCTTCCCAACGATCAATCCTGGGATTTTGCATAAACTGTGATAAAATATGAACATAATTAAATCTGGTCTCCTAACAGACAAATAAATCAGTCGGCCTATGAGACGACGATATTTCTCCACGTCATAAAAAAAACTCTCCCTGAGCCAAAGCCAACTTATGATTTTGATCCATAGGGAACTCTGCAGGTTTAGCATCTAGTAATCTGACCTCAGTAATAATGTCAATCGCATATTTCCTCTAACAAATAAATATTCCCTATGCATTCCGGGCTACCTCAGCCCCGACAAGTATTTCAACACTTCAAGATCTTTCATCTTAAAGCAATTTTCCAAGTATGACAAAAAATTAATCATAGCATATTTATCATTCCCTGCAATGATTAAATCATTGACATATACTAACACATTGATCTACATCTTTCCCTTTGTCAAAGTAAATAAAGAATAATCATAATATGACTGTTTAAAGTCATAAGATTTCAAAGTTGTGGCTAGCTTTGCAGACCAACATCGGGGAGCCTGTTTGAGACCATATAGAGATTTCTTCATCCTAGTGCCTTCCTTGGTGGTAATTTTTCAAGGACCCAAGTCCCTTGTGCTTCAAGAGCTGCTATCTCCTCACCATAGCTTTTCTCCAACCCTCATGCTTCATAGCTTCTTAAAACTCTTTGGCTCATTTCCTCCTGTGATCGCTGCAATATATTTTCTATGTTTTGTAGAAAATCGGTGAGTATCAATACAATGTGTGCTAGAATAAGTAGCACATGAGGAAGATGAGGATGTCACGGGTGAACACTAAGTCAATGTAGATGGACTATTATTTTTGATAGTACGAGTAACATAATAATGAAATTTAACTGAAGGAAATTTTTAACGCTTTCCTTTACCCATAGCCTCGCTATTTTCTGCATTTTCAAACACCTTAACCTCATTTGAGGTGGCCTAAAAACAACCCCCTGTACTTAAAGGCACCCGTTTGTGTCTCCCCAAAACCAAATCATGTTATGAATACCTTTCGCGTTGAATCATAATCGAATGAAGTGAAAGTGTGGAAAGTCTAATGTTGCGGTTAGTTTTTTTTATCAAAAATCTCTATTTCTGTTTTCGAAAACTTGCTCTATCTTATGAAAATAGCCAGTCCAGTTTATTTTGGTACATAAAAAGGGTCTAAAAATAGTGTATATGGATAGGGCTCGAAAAGAGCTTTCCAACGATATATTATAAGCCCAATTCCGATGAATAATGAGGAAGTTATGGCCAAAATACTAAACTAGGCCCGGTTTGGTTTTTATATGCGGCCCAATGATCTAGAAGAGGGCCTATTATGAATTATCATTCCTAATGCAATTAGGATTTATTATAGTCTTCTGGTATCTTCTAGAGGGTTCTTTTAAACCCAAATGGGATTATGATTGATAATTATGTTTTATGAGCTTTATTTGGAATAAAAGAAGCGTTTTATGTGTAATTGCGATATTACCCTTCATACGGGATTTTTACGACTTGATCAAAAAGTAGAAAACGCGTGGAAAACCTTCTGCGTCGCCAAACGACTGGTTGTCGCCAGGCGACAGACCTTGTCGCACGGTGACAGAGACGTATTTTATTTCTTTTTGAACTCTGATTCTTTTTATCAATTCCGGACTATTTCATTATAAATAGCGTCCTTAGACCTCCATTTTTAATTATCAACTCTCATCAAGAATTTCTTAATTTTCTCTCTCCCTCTTTCTAAACCAACCCTTTTTAAACAAAATTTCGCATTCACAAGATTTAGACACCTAGCCAAGTTCGAAGTTGCCTTCTTCCTAGACGTGAAAGGTTTGGTATTTTTGAGGGTTTGGTCCCAAATCTAGTCTAGACTTTCTTAATTCTTTCTTTCAATTATTTAATTTAATTCTTTAATTTATATTTTCCTTGAAGTTACTAACGCGTGCATTTTGTTATTAGAAAGAGGTACGAGGCATCCAAATAAGTACTTTAATTATTTTATTGATATTATGATATAGTTATCATGTTTAGATTGTTATTTTCATTCCTAGTATCATGTTATGATGTTTTTCCTAGTATCATGTTAGGATGCTTTTCTTAGTATGATGTTTAGGGTAAGAATAAGTTTCTTAATTATATCAATTATGATTTCTGTGATGCTTCCTATTTTCTTTCCTAATAGCATGTTAGGGCTAAAGCTTTGATTTTTATTGTTTAGTGACATGCTAGGGTTTGTTATTAATCTTGTTAGTATCATGCCTAGGATCTTGCTAATATTATTATGCTTTAACATGATTATTGTAATTATGGTTATTATAATTATTGTTATGATGATGATTATTATTATGTTGCTTGATTTTTATTTTTATTGTTTGATCACACTTTTTATGCATGTTTAAAGAGAATTTGTACTTGTAATCACGCTTAATAAGATAATTAATAATCTTGTTTAGGGTTAATTTGATTATAATTCAAGTGATCGCCAATAATAGTCTTATTTGTGCATTAATATTCAACCAATATAGATTAAACAGGTTAAGGGTAAACCTAATGATTGCATGTTAG